TCTCCATACATAGCTTAAGGTCTGTTTGCACACACTAGGCTACATTGCTTTCCTGCAAACAGGAGAAATTCTGATCCCTCCTGATATCAATGGAAAATTCCCACTGGTTTCTGTAGGAGAACGATTTCAAAAGCATGATGCTCATTTTGTTAATCTATATGGGCATTATTATGTAATTTTGGCTAGGTATGTATATTCATACATATATATATAAACCCCTGCCCTTCAGCTATATATTCAGGGCTCTTATTTTTCCCATCAATCAGCCCCCTCTAGTTTCTGGAACATTTCACCTAATTTTCTATTGGCTGCTTTTAACTAAATACTGTTTTTCCAGAAAGCAAACTACCAAACATGTGTGATGTTCCAGCCCTGGTTTCAACATTTCTGGTGCATACTCCCAGCACCACACTGCGATACCTCCTCGCCTACAGTCGCTGGTGCCTCACCTCCCCTCTGCCCTCTGTCTCTGCAAAGCTGGGTCACATCTACCTTCTACCATCACCTCCTGGACTCTTCTCTCTACCTTCCTCAGGATCCTGTCTGTCCTTTGGTGTCAGACTCTTTCCATCACCTCTATGAATTCTGGCTTGGTTTTTCACTTTTAGACTACTTATTTTTGGTCTGTCATTTAAATTTCTTTTGAGTCATTGTTATTATTGAGCCAACTTTTATAAATAGCTCTAAGCATTGCAGGTATGTGATAATCAAGTCCTTTGATTTTTGAGCAATTTGGTTACTAAATGATAGCAATAAAAAGCATGCAATCATCATGGGCGTTAGCCCAGGAAATGTTTCTACCGTTAAAGCTTTCAGGAGGTATATGACGAATCTGGTACAAATTTATGGCTCTTAATAATGAGTGTTATGATTTACCTTTGCAACACTAAATGGTGAGGTGTCATAACAGCTAAGGGTAATACCTGGGGGAAGTGCTTTTCAGAAAAATAGTAATCTATTAAAAGGAAAAGAAGAAAAAGCCTTTTGTACATATAAAGACATTATTTATTTTTAAAAAAGCATAAAAATCCAGTTGTGTACATTACTGCTAGAGTGATGTAAAAAGGCAGAGAAAAAGGCTAGTTAGCTTAATCTTACAGCCACAAAGTATGTGTCTAGCTGTGTGGATGTATAGGTATTACTGGTTTTAATTTCCGCAAGAAAACCCTATGAACACTAGAAGCCACCTCAACTGACATAAAAGACAATAACTTACTATGGGAAGAAAACTTACAGTCCTCTCAAAATCAGATGTAGTCTGAAAAGCAGAAAGCAAGCAGAATTGATCCCAAGGAAAGGCATCTGCATAACTGTACGTATCTACATTCAGCAGTGTGGACATTTATTTTAGGCAAATTTGCAGCAGCAAGAGGAATCATAACACCGGTCATAAATACGCACTGCAACAGCACAGCCCCTGCTGAGGTAAGTGGGTGTTGTGCCTCTCTCGGGTTTGGGAGAATGGGGCTTTTCTACCATGCTGTAGCCTCCCTTCAGAGAGGTGTGTGCATATATATTCATTCCATTTAGAGATATATACATATATAAGGAATGTAGGCTTAAATATTTGTGGAAAAGGCACCTGAAGTCAAATGGCAGTCCTCATCACTTAATTCAGGATACAGCTAAGCAGAGCAGTACTTCACATTATAGGCAGACCCAGGCAGGGCTGTGACCCTGCCTGCACAGGACAGTAGGGACCAAAGCTACTCTTCCATCTCCCACTCCTGCCATGGGGCACGATGTGCCCATGGTGCTTGGGAGCACAGTCCTTTGGGCAATTCCCCACTCCAGGAAGGCCCAATGAGTCACGGAGCAGGGTGGGGAACAGCCGGCATCATGGGTGGCTGCAGGGGGGCCCTGCAAGCTCCCAGCTCTGCACCAGGATGGCTGCCACACCAGTCTCTGCTCTGCCATCAATCGGCTATGCTGCTTTATGGGCTCTGGCATGACAAAGACTTACCTATGGCAGCAGCCTTTGAGGCTACTCCAGTGGATAAAATTACCCAGAGATATAAATCTTCATAGGATTATGGCCTTTAAAGACATGGCTAAGTTCAAGTAATTATTTTTGAGCTAATTCTTTATTTAATTTTCTACTAGGATGCAGATTACAAAAGCCATTTTAGAACAGAAATTCAGTATTCTGAATTAATTAAATATGCACTCACCAAAATAGCTGTTAACGCACGGTTGGTGCTGCCACAAACCTCATTCTATAGTGTCCTAGAAAATGCTCATACTGGTACAATTAAAACCCCTTATTTATAAAGTAATTTCTTATTATGTTCCACTATAAACTTTTAGTGTAATTTTTGCTGTTAATAAAATATCATTAGACTATTAGAGGCAGGGGGTTTTTAGAGTCATTTTTTAGCACACAGGATTCGCGATTTCTAAAGCAAAAAAGTAGGAAGTGTAGCATTGTAAAAAATCCCTTTCACTAGGGGTCTAATCTTTCCTGCAGTGAAATCAATTGGGGCTTTGCTATTGCATTGAATGTTAGGATTTGGCCCCAAATATTTTGAATTTAACATGAACAACCTTGGTCCCCTGAACAAGTCCCATGGAATCTATGTGCATTCCCAGGATCAGCCCCACAATATGAATAGTGACTTCTTAGAAGCCTGTTGTTCAGAAATATGCATATGTGACAGACCCCAGGAACTGCTAATGAACAGGGGGAGCCCCTCTGAGATCACGCTATTGGGAAGCATCATTCCAAGAGCCCTTATACAATATTTTAGAATAATTTTGGTAAGCATATCCAGTATTTCTCACATCAAATCTTACACTTTCATTCTTTTAACCCACATAGCATAGAAATTCCCAAAAGATTTTAGTGAAGAGAAGTCTACAATCATCAAAATGTTAATTTTGACAATGACAAAGAGTACATGCATTAAAAATGCATCAGCCCTGTCATTAAGGCATTATTCAGCAAAACCATCTCATCATGCTAAACAGAAAGCAACTAGAAGAAAGCAAGTAAAAGAACCATTTGCTAAGCTTGTATTTATGGGTACCAGTCCAATCCATACTGCACGAGGTACTCAACCAAGCAAAAAGCAAACAAATCCTTTATGTGATGAAATGGGAACTCCTAATAATACTCTAAGCATGACTCAAGGGAAAATGTCAACTAAAAGCTCAGATCAGAGGAAGGTTTGTAATACAAACCTGGATGTTTAAAATAGTATTTCCATCACTGTTCCTGCAGCACTTGTGAGTGTGGCTGTGTTATGGTGCTGAACTGACTATGATTTAGCAGCTGATCATGTCTTTTTAAAGCATAATTTAACATTGTTTCTGAGGTTGTTGAACATACTAAACTAGAAGAAAAAAAATCTGCTTTCAAGTGGTATTAGAGGAACACAAGGATCAGAGTGCTAGCATCAAAGATGTGTCTAAAGAATAACAGATCCACACGTCTGTATAACAAGGAGCGCTCCACTTGCTACTGAAGGCAACAGAGTAAGATTCCTTTGGCAGTTGTTGGAAATAATTAAGCAGAACATAGGCAGCCTTTCAATCTCTAAGCAAGAGACAGAGAGAAAGACATTCTCCATCATCCTGCCTCGCACTCACAACTTAGCAATCACCCCATGTCTGTCTTGTCCACATTAAAAATCGTTCCTAGCCTCATCATAGCTGAGCTTCGGGAAGGATCCATTCAAAAAGGCTGTCTCATCACAGTAATCCTGGTCTTGCTTTAAAATGGCTTCTGATCTAATTCACTTAAGGCTGAAATCTGGTCTCACAATTGTGACTACGTGGCAAAAAGATCTGGAATCATCTGGGGATGTGGAGAGGTCTCGAATGGGAAAACAGGGATGATCACACCCCACTCCTTTTCTCTGCCACTCTTGTGGGCAGAGGAGCAGGGGAAAAAAGACTGGAACTATGAATGCTATGCCTAAGATTTTCCTAAGCACAGCAGCTAAAGACTAACCAGGCTTTTAATCAAAGCCTGTGCCCTGCTGCTGAAATTGGAGAGGATCAGATTAACCTCTTCTGTGTTAAAGCAATGGGGCATGTCTTGACCAGCAAGAGGAATCAACACTCCGTTGTTGTGTTTCCCACCTGTCCAGCTGCAAACAGCATTTGGGGAGTCCTGAGCTCTTGGGAGAGGGGCAAATAAACCACCACCTGAGGTGCAAAGGGCAAAACAACCCCTCAGCTCTTGCCCTGAACACGTGTCTCAACCTGGGGTCTCAGAAGCTGACAAACTCTACATTGGGCTGGGACTGGTGTGAAGTGGATTCTTAATCCCACCTTCCCTAGGTTGGTACTGCAGGGTGAGGATAAGGAGGTAAGAGGAGCATGACTCTCCCTGAAAGCAACAGTCCACAACGTCTTTGCCAGTAGCGGCCCCGCTGGGTGGCCGAACCCCTCGGCAGCCGGGGAAGAGGGACTTCCCCGGGAGTCGGGCGCTCTGCGGCCGTGCGAGGTGCCCCTCGCCTCGCTAGCATGGGTGCTCGGCACCTCCCCGCCCGCGGGCACCCCCAGCCCCGCATGACTCGGCTGCTGCGGGTGCGGGGGCCGTGGCCACCGAGGGGGCGGCAGCCCAGGCTCTGCCAGCGTGTGCGGGCAGAGCCGGGGCCGCCCTGGCCCTGCGGGCACTCCGTGTCCCGCGGGGAGGGACCCCCGGCAGGCGAGCAGCGAGAGGCTGCGGGCGGCTTGGGCTGGGGGCTGCCGGCCGAGTGCCGGGACACAGGAGCTGTCCGGACGGGCAGAGCGCCTTCCCCCCGCCCCGGCCCAGCCTGCCGAGCCTGTCCGCGGATGCGCTCCCCGCAGCGGCCGTGGCTCTCCCGGTCACCCCCTACCCGCGGAGCTTGGCCAGCCTTTCCCCGGCCCTCCCAAGCCCTGGGCTTGCTCCCACGCACACACACACAGCGGGCACCCCCTTCCTCAAGAGAGGGCGTCCGAGCTCCCCCCGCCCGGGCATAGACACAGAGTGACACATTGCAAAGCGTAGGAAAAGATGGAAAAGGTGCTACCTTGGCAACTAGAGGAGGTGAGGAGCCAGCTGGTGGGCTGGGGGCGGTCGCGCTGCCTGCCTGCCTGCCTGCCCGCCGCCGGTACTCTCCTCGACTACGCGTATTCTTAAGCAATAACAACGTAATCCGTATTATCCACCCAAGAATACCCGTCACCGAAGAGAGTCAGAAAGCTGCTGCTGTTGCTGGTGGTGGTGGTGGAAGTGCGGCACCGGGACAATAAATCCATAACTATAATTCGCCTCTAGAAGAAGGAGAATCCACAAGGATTGCCGAGCGATCTTGTCCCATATCCAATGGACGCTGAACCTTCCCATCCTGCGGAGGCAAAAGAGAGGAGCAGGCGTTTAATACACACGCGTACAGTCCCTCTGCTCTCCTGCTACCTTACTGGAACGGGCAGGGGCTTGCAGGCGAGGTGAAAGGAAATAAATCAAAGTAAGGCTGAGTTTACCTGGTAATTGCCTGGTTTCTTCCTCTGTGCTTCTCTGGTATCCTATTCCCTAGCTGTATGCTCCATCAATTCTCTCTGGGAGCTTGCAAGAGATGTCATACGCAGCAACAGATTCCTGTAAAAGAGATGCACGGTTAAGCACACGAATATTACAAATCTGTTTGCATAGGTGGGCTTGGGAGAGCTCCGATAAAGCAGCAGACACGCCTGAGAGACTTTTCATCTGGGCTTTGGAAATGCATTTTACAAGTCCTGACTCACACTGACTCGATGTGCTACCAAGAGGAGGGAGGGCGGAAAGGAAAGCGATGGAGAGGGGGGGAAAAAATCAAAGAAACAAATAGCAAAGCCTCCTATCTCAGCAGAGGCACTCCTCTGTCAGGCCTTCCTGGTGCCATGAAAATATAAGGCGAAAAAGGCTTCAAAGTACAAATTCAGCGCGCTCCACTCCCCGCGTGTGCCCGAACGGCGGAGCCCGGCGGCTGCGAGGCGCCGAGCCGGGCAGGCGGCTCCGCGGCGGCGGGCGGGGGCGGCGGCAGCGCACCTCCGCCCTGACACCTGCCGCCGCCCTGCCAAGGTTTGCAAAAGGCGAGCCGGGGGGGGGAAATAACAATAATAAAAGAAGTTATTTCCGAATGGCGCCTGCGGCTCTGCCTGTCACCCGGAGCAGTTCCCTTATCAGCAGCGCTCGTGCCTGGGGGAGGCGGGAGGGGGAAGCTTTGTCTGATGATCTGCCGCGGTGATAATAAACGTTTATTGTTCGCCAACTAAATAGAAAGGATCCCTGCAACGTCATGGCACAGCACACTTCGCCTAGCGCTTAGGAACTTCGTGCTATTTCACCCCAGTTCCTGATGCTAAGGACAGCTTCCGTGTGAGTGACGGGGAGGGGGGAATAAAACTAGCACCGCACCGTCCGAACCCGCACAGAGCAGGGGTACTCCGCACTTCTTCAGACATGAGTAATTATGCAGCACATACAGCTCTCGTTATCCACTGCATTCGGTGACTGACCAGCTTGTTGATTAGATTCCAATTGAAATTAATACAAGATGCTTGCTTTTCCTACAGATTTCTTCCTTAACATGAGCCCTTGCCTCCCTTGACGTATTACTACTATGCTTCGTACGAAAACATACGAGAAGACAGCATTTGTTTTGTAACATAGACTCTGGCTTGAATTTGAAAGACAAGGGAAAAACAAAGATAGAAAGAGAACAAAAAATACTTTGATGGCTACATTACCTTAAATAATTAAAAAATATTTCCAACACACTCTCCTCTATTTTAATCTCATTGTAGGTGTAATTTCCTGTATTCCTCTAAACAGCAAGCTCTCAAGTCGTATTCTAAATGGCAGCTGGAAAGTAAATAACAAACACTGTAATTTTTCCCCGCTGTGAAACTGAAGGCTCTAACCCCATTAGCTGGCGTTGGAACTCAAATAACTGATGCAGTGGGTTTCCTTCAACTTGAACAAAAGCCGTTTGAAAAAGTGAAATGCACCGAGTCGTGGCAAAAACATTCTACAGTGATACACCTAGACAGATATTCTCCGAAATTTGGAGGCGCTCCATAAATGCATCGAGACTTGGGCAGAAATCCAAACTTTGTGTGTTTGTTGGGTTTTTTAAAAATATTAAAGGATGCGATTCTAGGGGAAAAGCAGCACCGCCCGGCGCCAACGCTGTTCTCGCCGTGTCCATCTGACACTGCCCTTCCCCTCCCCGAACAGCAGCCCCCCCACTACTCCCCGCCAATACAGTGCCTGCCGAAACTTCCCCTGCCCAGCCCCGCCGCCGCCCCGCACCGGCCCGGCTCGCCGCACCCCCCGCCCGCCGGGCCCTTCAGCACCCGCGGCGAGGACAGCGCCGAGTGCCGGCCGCGCTGCCCGGCCCCCCGCGCCGCTCCCGCCGCCGGGCCCCGCCGGCCCCCTCGACCCTGCCCACCCCGGCCCCGGCGCTCCCGGCCGGCCGCCGCCGGGCTCCAGGGGAGCGAGCCCCGCCGCGCTGCCCGCCTCGCACCTTCTCCGCGGCGTGCGGGAGGTGCCCGTGGCGGCGCGCCGCGGCACTAAATACCTTTGTTCACCGGCTCCGGAAAGCCATGTTTATCGGCGCTGCCGCCCCGCTCCCCGCCGAAAGAGCCCGGGTGCCGGAGCCCCCGCCCGGCAGGGCCGGGGAAGGGCCCCGGGGGGCACCTCCGCCTCCTCTGCCGTGCCCGCGGAGAGGGACACACACACAGAAGGGAGGGGAACGGATGGAGGGAATTAAACAATTAAGCTATCAGGAGAGGAGCTCTGAGCAGAGCTCGGGTTTGCCACGAAAAGCAAATTTCAGAGGGAGGAATATTGATCCCATCCGTCAATAGAGAGGCGCGATGTCTTTCCGTGCGAGAAATTGTTCTGAATTAGGGGGCTCGCTGGTGAAAGAGGAGGCAGCACGGAAGAAAAAAAATGAAAGAAGGAAGGAAGAAAATATTCATGCCCGCTAACAGGGAGCCTCTTTTTAAAAATCGCTGGAAGCTCGCTCCTTTTGCCACCTACCCGAGTAACCACCAGAAATCCACCTCTATTGAAGCGCTTACCCTTTAAATCCAGGTTTCGAGCAGAACTCCAACTGTGTGTAAAACCAGGGAGTCATCTGATGTGTGATGGGGAATGGGCTCTGGGCAGCAGAAAGCAGCTTTCTCTCCTGGTGCCGGATTACCATGTTAACAAACCCCGTGAAGGGACCCCGGCGCCTCTGGCTGGCCATGTCTCGTTGCTTTCACACATCGGCGGCTGCTCTTGCTTCCCATGTCCCCGGCGATCGCCTCTCAGATGAATGTGGGCTTCCAGAAAAGGAGTCGGGGGGGAGAGGAGGGAAAAAAAAATCGCCTAATGCAATCAAATCGATCTGATCTACACCATCTGTCGCCTGCCACTACACACAAGCGTTAAAATAGGAAAACGGGAGACACTGACAGCTCAGGAAGGTTGTTCTGCAGAGTTCATTTTTAGCAGAGCATAATTGGGTATGGACAGCATACAGTTACCAAAGCTGCTGTTAACCATCCAGTAGAGGATCCCAAACATGCTAATGGTGGATTAATTGAGGAAGATCTGACGTGCAAGCTTCATAGTCTCTTATTCATGACTTCCCAACGGGAAAGGACCAATGCCGTGTGGGACTATGGTAACACAGAGTCAAAGAGCTGCTAAGAAAATGGCTCTGTGTTCATAGCACCTCTCTCTGATAACAAACATATGTCGACCAGAACCGTTTAGCAGGAGGGGGGAAATGAAATTTTCTTAGCCGAGGTTAGCAATTCCCATCACTTGCACTTAAAGACAAGTGAAAAATGGACTGCGGGTCTAAGGCGCTTTCGAGTGCTGGTCTCGGGCTTTGCAGCTAGTGAAAGCAGACGGCTCCTGCTCAGACGGGGGGTTAAACCCCAAATCTCTTACTTGTTACTGTGACCAAAGTGCATCCTTAGCAAAGCTCTAAACAAGCAGCTCTGCTAATTTCATCAGGAATGACGCAAGGTCGTTTTAATGCCAGGAACCCTTTTGACTTTTTCCAGCGGGAATGGCTTTTGGGCAAGACATTTCCGATAGCTGATATTTGACATAATCTCAGATAAATATGATTTGGGGGGGGGAAGGGAGGAAGGAAGGGGCGGTGAGTTGGGATGATACGGAGTATGCATCCAGACCTGCAATCACCCCTGCTACCAACACTCCAATCTGGTAGCGTTTTCTAGTCTTTCCTGAATTCTGAGGTTATAGAGACGTATATGTAATTATTAAAGCCATGTATGTACACAAGCCACAGACGCCTGCAGCAGCCGCGTCTACGCACACCGACGGGGAGACAAAGTGCGCCCGTCGGAGTGCTCTTTTCCACTCCCTGATGAATCCATCGCCAGCGGGGAGAAGGGCTGCTAAAGCGAGGGGAAGCGAGTTCCCCTCCGCCCGCTCCAGCCCCGGGCGGAGGCGGCAGCTCGGGGCAGGGCCGCGGGGCCGGTCCGGAGCTGTCCGCCAGCCCGGTGCTGATCGGCGGCGGCCCGGCCCCGCAGACAATGGCCGGGCACGACGCGCCCCGCACCGCTGCGCAGGGCACCGGGCGGTTGTCGCCCCCTCCGACAAAGTCTGCGCGGTCGCCCTGACAATCGCTACAACAATTAGGAAAGTTCTCCGTCGTTTCCACCTCGCCTGCCTGATTAGTAGAGAGTAATAACGCCAATAATACGAATCCAAGGGGCTGAATGTAAACGTTCTGGTAAACTGTTATCATTTAGAGTAATTCTGGAGTCAACCACATGATTCTCCTGGAAGTTTGTGTTAATCTCTGTAGAATAAATCTAACAGTTATGAATTAGATTAGCCTTGAAAACTTAGCCTAAAGACAAATCAAACACTTTACCCGATCTTTTGTTTCAATATACATTAATTAAGCACTGCTGCCTACCTACACAGCATTCTCGGGTCCCGGCCGAGCCAGCGAGCCCCGCCGCCTTTGTTGGCATTTGCGTCCAACTATTGCCCTCTGCAGGTCAAATCCAAGCCGCGGCGAGCGCTCCGCCGCCGCCGAGCACTCCGCGAGCAGGAGCCGCCGGGCTCGGGGCCCCCGGACCCCCCTTCGACAGAGATTCAACTTTTGTTGGGTTTGGTTCTTCACCACGATGACTCAGGCGTGTTTCTTGAGGAGAGGCTACGACTGGGGAGAACCGGCACCAGCACTGCTCCGGCCGTCCTCATCCTCTCTTCTAGCCCTGGCCAGGACAGGAGAAGACAGAACAAGGCGAGATGCCACTCAGAAGACGTGTTGTTTTCTTTTTCCACTTGTCTCCATACGACTACGGCAAGCTTCCTAGGCAAAGCCTGCCCTTCCCCTGGGTTTGCAGAAGAACCAGAAAAGAACTCAGCACCAAGCAGGAGCGTGTGGGTGCCGACTCTCAGGATCCCCCGACACTCCCAGCCGGGCAACTTTTCTCCGGGCACAACTTGAGAGTTTGCTTCTCTCACTCCCGGTCCCGGAGAGACCTCCCGGGAAGCCAGGCGGGCTGCGGCAGCGGCTGCCAGGAGAGCAGGAACATTGGGCACCGGTGCCACTCTGGCAGCCACGCTCTGCCGTGCCCCGCACGCATCGGCACCGCTTACACGATAACGCACAATATGCTGTACCAGAGGAAAAAAAAAACAAACCCAACCAACCCAGTGTTAAGGCGATCTAGTTATTGCTACTTATAATTCAGGAGCTTCAGTGCCCAATAAAAGGTGGCCGCTCCCTTTCTTTTTTCCAATCACACCTGCACACGGGTTTGTAAGGACCCGCTCTATACCCTCTCTCCGCTCCCTGCCCGGGGTTAACACTATGCACATGGGCTTCGGCATCCGCCCCGGAGCCCGGCACCGAGGCCGCCTGCTCCCGCGGGTGCCAGCGCCGCGCTGCCCGCACGCACGGACGCCTGTCCCCGTTCAAACAGGACGGTCTTTTCCCGGAGCTCCGCGCCGCAGCCAGGCGGGGAGGGCGGCTGGGCGGCGGACTCCGGCCCTCCCGCAGGCGGCCCGGGAAGGGGGAGCGGCCGCGCACCCCGCGCTGCCGCAGGGGCGGACACGCGCCCGCCTTTTGTCTCCCGGCAGCCGCCGCCGATCCAGGCCGGGGGCGGCAGCTCCGCCGGCCCCGCTGCCCCGGCCCCGCGCCGCGTTTCCGGCCCGGGGCGGCCCGTTCCACACCCGCGGAGGTGCAGCCGCGGTTAGGGCTGCGGGCAGACGCGGGGGGGGCGCTGCCGGGGGGTCTCCCGGCGCCGGCGGAGCGGGCCGAGCGGGGCCGGGTCGAGCTGGGCCGGGCCGCCCCCCCGGCCACGGCCGCCTGCGCGGGCGGAGCGGGGGAGACCCCTGCCGGCCGCGGGCGGGGCTGCAGCTCGAGGCGGGGCCAGGGCCCGTCCGAGCCCCGCCCGAGTCCCGCCCGGGCCTCCCCGCCCTGGGGCTGCACAGAGGGGCCGCAGGGTCCACCCTCTGCACGGAGTCTTCAGCCGTAGGAGGAGAACACCGTGCGTGTTGCCCAGACACCCGCCCCTGCTCGCGCCCACCCCTGCTCTCCCATCCTCAGCAGGCAACACGAGGAGCTCCACATTCAATGTTACCTTGAGCTGTTCCAGCTCTGCTCCTACGCTGGCACTTGAGAGCAGGGAAGGATTACCTGAAAATGTTGAATAACACCTCAAGTGCTAGGCTGGTGAGATAATCAGGGAATTGAAGAGGAACTCTGAACGGAGTAGCCTAAAAACCAAAAAACACATGATGCAATTTGAGATACATCGTGACGGGCTATTTCTTTCTCTAGAACATCACCTGATGTTATATCTAGGTGATGTTCTGGCTGTTACCTGGGCACATTGGATTTTCTGGCCTGACAGCTTTCTGGTTGTCTCAGGCATGATACCCAGTTCACAAACTGATTGAGATCCATTTAAAAAGCACTTACTTTCTCTGGCCCTATTATTCCCCTTGGAAAACTCTTCCAGAATCTCATAACTCAGCTTCTTAAGAATTCCAGCCTATGTTTATTAGGGGCCTGTTTATATCCATTTCTTCAGATGTCAATTTTGTCCTTGAACTTAATTAGTTCTGATATTTACTCCCTTCACAGTGTACTAATATTCCTTCTCATAATTTCTTTTGTTTAAATCAAGCTTTTCGGTCTTGTCTCATAAGATAGAATCTTCATTTCCCTGATTATCCCCATATCCTAGCAACTTATGAAAACTGGGTCATGACCAACACCCAGAAATTACGGTTTTCAAAAGGGTTCATTATTCTATCCATTTTCAGTTTGACCAAGACACAAGTAGGGAGAATGATTAGCATAAGGTCAGACAAACCACAATTCTCCTGACTTCAAGTTCTTTTGTAATCTATCAGGGACATGAGTTCTGAAAGGCTTGTGGTTTATAACTTGGCATTACATCAATGCACATTTATATACCTATATATCATCTTCTGGAGGGGAAGAACGGCCTTGTAGTTAAGAGGGTATATTAGAAATCTGGAGACGTGGCTTTGAATGCCAGGTCTGCCATAGGCAACAGAGGTAACTTGGGCTAGTCCTTTAGTCTTTTGCCACATTTCACCAGTTTTAAAATGGGGACAACAATCCTCCTCTTCTTGCCTCTTTTTCTTTCCCATATATTTACCTGCATTGTATGCTCTCAAACCAGGCACCTCCTTTCCAGGTACTCCTGGTGCCTGGGCCTCTGAAGTCCAAATGTGTCTGTGACTCTGAAGCTGCAGTTAAAAATAGCCCATACTCTTATAAAGTCTACTTTAAGGGTCTATCATAAAAGCTGTTAGTCAGTAAGCACGCTAGGAACCAGAATTCCTGAGACCTGCAGCCCATTGATTACATTAAAAATGTTCTCTGTCATCAAACTAAACCCAGGGACAAGCAGTAAAACCAGGGACATTTAACTGCAAAGCTGCATTCTGGCTTCTGGTTTTCAAGTCTTTGCCTGGTTGAAAACCAAGTCAAAGCTTTATTATTATTGTTATTTATTATTATAATTATAATAATAATAATTATTATTTTAAAATAGACACAATTTAACACATTTTCTTCACCAGTTTTCAATTCAGAAGGCAATTTTTGATCACGTAGTACTGCACAGAAACAGTACTAACACTGGAAGCCCCAACAGCCCCTTAGCTGGAGTGGTCCTGGTAATAACAAATACTATCATTGTCCTTCCCCAGCAATCCAAGTGCAGAAGGTTGAGACTGAGACAGAAATAGAGAGCACTCTGTTGAGCTGAGGTGAAGCAATGATATTTATGGGAGTAATTATCACAGAGAAAAACTGGGAAAATATGATTACAGCAAATTGTAACTCTCTCAGATATGTTCTTCGTTGTAAGAAATAGCTCAGCTGAGACCAAACCAATATGAACAACAGACTGGGAAGTGTCAGACACTGATTCTCTGGAGGCTGATACCATCAGACCCTCTGAGCAGAACATGATCCAGCTTTAGCATATCAGGGAGCTTGGTGTCAGCAGCCTGTGCTTCTTCTCAGCCATTCTACTCAATTCAAAACAACCTAACAAAATGTGAGCTGCAGGACTCCCCACTGGAAAAGCTGATCTGGAGATGCTGTCCCTAATGACCACCAGTAGGAGAGGCAAGTGTCTCTCAGAGTCAGTCAGTTCTCCTGCAGTCTTCCCTCAGCAGCTGTAGCCGTTCAGTGCTGCTGGGCAGCTAACACTTGGGTTTCTAAGAGCGGCTGTGCAGATGCAATAGGGTGACTGCACAACACTCATCTCTGCGCTAGCACTGCCTTCCCATTGGACACCTCTCTTGGCTTCAGCTGCT